ATCGTTCTGGATGGAAATTTTCACATGTGATATAGTTATCGGTGGCTCCCCTGATCTATGGGTGGTACTTTTTGTAGACTAAATTAAGTGAAACATCAATGGAGAAACATCAATGTTGTACAAAATAAGCGTACTATAGTCCCAAGAGCTACAAAAAGACTCTGCCTTACGAGCAAGAATATGAGCCATCTTATTACAAGAGCGACGAACATGACTAAATGAAATATCTTGAAACTCCAAGATAAATGATTATTGTTTATTAGGATGATTGAATAAAGAATATCCTTATTAAATGATGACTATGAACAAGTAAGATTGACTATCTAGAAGAATTCTAAGATAGATTTCATGTAACTAAATTAGTCTGATCTTGCAGGTATGATGTCTGGTGGCTAAAGTTAAACATACGTACGAGATTCACAAACTGAACTTGAGTATCCATTCGTTTGGGGGTACCACCCAACCGGACGGAGAGCAGATCACTATTCGGTTTTGAACATGACCTATAAGACCCATAGGATAGGTCATCGATTCTTGTATTTTTCCTTAAACTAATTATAGTTTAAGAGCCCGATTCTCAATATAAATTATTAGCCCTAGAATAAAAATAGTTTAAGAGTTTTGTTATGGTTTGGTCTTAGACTGAGAATAGTTTAAGAGTACGGTTGATATTACGAATATTGAATATTTAAATTGATTATTATGTGCATGACATCAAATGAATTGGTTGTGAATTGTGATTCTATTTATGTAGATGTTTGACGCCTTAAATATATCCATTCAGCTTCACCGTTGAGCGTGTGATATGTTTTATTTGCTACACGCTTATAAACAGAATAAGAAATGATGAAGATGTTGATCCTAGAGGCAGTTGGGAATACGATGACGGACAACCTGTTCAATCCTCGAAATTGTTAGATGGCCGGGCCAAGTCGCATTCTCCATTCCACATGGCGTATGGGCACTATGGGGCCAACACTCAGCCTCTTGAGGGATCAAGCACTCGGCCTCACAAACTATGGGTCCTTTAAATTTTGGGGTTTGTGCAATTACACATGTTCAATGTGCCTAAGGCTACCACTCTCAATGTAAATATGTGAAATGACTATTCTATTACTTGTAAATGAGCATTCGTTGCATATGTACGAAATACACCTTAAACCCAATAGATAATGACCAATGGTCCTAAATTAGAAAATAAAAACATATGGTCCTATATTGAGAAAATCATTATGTTTTAGTTGTCCTATTTAGGTAAATTTTATTCATAATGACTAATGGTCCTACATTGGAAAATAAAAACATATGGTCCTATATTGAGAAAGTCATTATGTTTTAGTCCTATTTAGGTAAATTACCCTTGATATTAATTTCTCATTAACAAAATTTTCATTTTGTATATTTATTTTAGTATTCATTCAAAACATAATGCTTATTATGTTTATATAGAAGATATACTCACGAATAATACAATACTCATTTCATATATTGCGTATGAATATTTGGCAAGCATATACAAAATGAATATTCTATTATTCGTAAATGGGTATCATCGTTAATGTACGGAAAGCATTGTTAGGGTCTCACATTCGGGGAATTTACACTAGAATATAGGATCGATGAGTATAGATTATTAGATTGTAATATAAGATACTTAGATTTAAACACATTAAAAGATTGAATTCAAACATTTACATAATTCAACTTTAAAACATGTAAATCTCTAGTTCAATCTTTTTATAGTTCAACCAAATGCTTTATGACTTAGTTTAGCAATCCTTTCTCATCCTTAATTCTAGAGTAAATTCCTCAAATAACTTTTTGTAACAAACTGTTTTCCCAAATAAAATCTTCAATAAGTAATATAATACTACCGGAGTAATTATCTACATAGAACTTAATAAACGAAATTACTTATTATCTCGATTATCTTTCGTCAAAAATTGTGTTATATAATTGTTAAGTAAGAGATGTTTTGATATTTTTCATTAGTATGTGTATGTTCTAAAAAGACTATTTAAAGAATTTAGTCTAAAATACGATCTAAATTAACAAGTGTATAATATAATTCTTAACAAAAATAATAAAATTTTAAGAAAAACTTAATTAGAAAAGGTCATTTCGAAAACTTACTTTAAAGTTATAAGATGTAAAATACGGAGTACTAAAATACCTAAGAGTACACTTAACATTTGAATTACAAAACGTATGTGGAAGGACGACCGTGAAAAAATAAATCTCAATTTATTGAAAATTAAAGGAAAAATTATATAAAAAAATTCGACCTTTTCACGCTTTTTCAAAAATAATCTCACTTTTTACTATCACCGGAAATAATCCCACATTTCTGCACGTGTGCAAGTTTTGGATCACCGTTAAAAAACTAACTGTGATTTAACAGCATTTTTGAAAAATGTCTGTATTTCGCAAATAAATGAAAGGTGAGATTATTTTAGATAAATTCTATTTTTTCTTTTTTTTAATTTTTAACTTTAAATTTGAATTTTTAATTTTTTTTGTAAATAATACCAAATTTAAGTGTTTTTTAGAGTGAAACTAAATATTTTTTTTCAATAATTGATAATAAAGTAATAATTACACAATAAATTATTCTACACAATAGTGCTAATTTATTTACTTCATAACTCACTACATTTTTTTTAAGTTGCAATAATTTTTCTTGAGCGGCACTTCGAATTATTTTTTGATACTATTTTATTATTATTATTTCTTAAAAATGACATTACAAAACTTGTGACTATTTTTCGATAATTCTATATAAATATTTTTTTGCAAAAACAAAATTACAATAGTTCTGAAAATAACACAATAATTTATTCTCTGAAATGGAACTTTTATTTTTTATAACTCACTACATTTTTTGTTGTATTGCAATTTTTTCATGAACAACACTCCGAAATATTTATTGATAATCTTCTATTACCGATACTATTTTTTCTAAAATGGAGCTACTTAACTTGTGATTTTTTATTATAACTAAGTACAAATTTTTCCCAGAATAGTAATTCAAAAGTTATGAAAATGACATAATATTTTTTTCTCCAAAATGGTACTAATAAATTTTATAACTCACTATTATTATTTTTTTGCATTGCAATTTTTTTCTCGATCGATACTCTGAATTATTTTTTATAATTCAATATTATATTTTCCCAGAACAGAAAACACAACTTGTAAATCGTTAGACAAATCTCTAACAAGAGTGTACTGTTATATTTTTAAAAAATATTACTTTTAAATTCAAAATTTAAAAAAGAAAAAAATAAATGTGGCTAAAATAAGCACACCTTTCATTTATTTGCAAAAACATTCATTTTCTAAAAATTCTGTTAAGCGACCATTAGCTTTTTAACAGCGACCCAAAACTCACACACATACGGAAAAACAGGATTATTTCCGGTGATAGTGAAAATTGAGATTATTTTGGAAAAAAATAAAAAAATGGAATTATTTAAGATAATTTTTCCATAATTAAATTGGATTTTTTTTATAAGGAGCGACCATTTTAGAAATTCCCTCTAAATTCGAAGCACTGTACTTTTTTTGTTTTGTTTGAGGGACAAACACTGTACTTTTAATCGCATGGTAATCCCACTTTTGTAATTTTGTGGTCCCTTAATTGTGGCCCCGCCTGCCGGCGGGAATCGCGCAAATTGGTCCATTTGTTTTCTCTTTATCATCATGAGGAGGTAGGGTCCACCACTTACTCACACCAATCACGACTCTCCACCTACCGCACATGCGAATATTTTGTACCCTCGTCTCCCGAATTGAATGCCGCTGTCACTAATTTCGATTTTTCACTATCGATCGGTAGGATAAGTAATCGAGAGAAAATAAATTGAGTAATATCTCAGGAATGTTTTTAACATTTTCCACACCATATGCCATTTTCATGATATAATTGCACCAATTTTAAAGAAAGTTGAAAAAAAAATAGTGGATACAAATTGTTTTGAAAAAAAGGAAAAAAATTATTCACTATGTACCCAAATATGCTGGTGGTATTGAAAAGAGAACACGTAGTATATTCACAGGGATCAAAAAAAATTACCTAACGTTTTAAAGCATGTGCATGTGACTTCCATCACTTTTAAGATGTGTTTTATTGGGGGAATATTTTTTCAAAATGTTTGATTCCCATGTCTAGTATTCTCTCTATCCGATAAATTTTTTTCTTTCTTTTTTTCATCTTTTTTTTAAAAAATTCTTATTTATATTAAAAAGTCTTTTAAATCTTTACTACTCCGTAACTCTTAACATTCTTATCATATCACATTTTTTTACTACTAATTTGTGCATCACATCTTACTTTAATTTTATACATCGCATCTAAGAATATTTTTGAAAAGTTAAAATATTCCTCTTAAATCATTTTAAAGGCAAAACTAGAGAGGTTTCGTGGGACAGAGGGAGCAACATATAGTGCTGAAAATATGAGAACTCACAACTCCGTATACTTTTATTTTTATTTTTTTAACAATTTGAGATTATTTTTTATTGACTATCTTTTTATTTCATTAATTCTTTAATGCAATACTAGCTAGCACGGTCCCTAAAAGCTTTTTCTTTGGACTCTTTTTCAGCCTAAAAAAGTTTGTCATACTTTTTATAAATCACTTTAATTCTACATATCACTACATATGGCCTTAAATTTTTACCAATCATATTAAGATTTTTTAGGTGAGATTTATTTATATAGTACTGAAATATGAAATATTTGCACTAAATAGCACAAAAACTTAAGTCACTTTTACCCCTACTAATTCTTAATCTACCTATCACATCACACTTTTTCTCTATTAATCTATCAATCTCATCCTACTTTATCCATCACATCAAAGGCATTTTTGGAAAGTCAACACCAAAACTACACTCCCCTTAAACCCTCAAAAAGTCAAAACAGGAAATTTTTTGCGGGACGGAGGAAATAGTAAGTTACCCAATGTACTACCGTTGTTCAATATCCAGTGCATATTGTTCAAGTAGATGTTCAGTGCTACTCGACATTGTTCAAGTACTATTTTGTGAATAAATAGTTTTAGGTATTACGAGCCAGGGTGAGGGGTTTGTATGCCAGCTATGTGCTTGTGCGGGTATATATATACCATATATATGAGATGGAGAGTGGCATATAGTTTCACAGCACATACATTTAAAAAAGAATGAGGGCTCTTTCTTCATCATCTTCTTCTTCATCTCCAACAATTATGAAAGCAGGATTATTATTGATGGTGTGTTTGATTGATAGGGTTTCTTCATCATCAAAGCCGCCAGGTGATAATGGTGTGGGTGTTGGGTATGAATATGTGGGGACTGTGTATGCAGGGGGTCAACAATCTAATACCTGGGCTGCCCCTTGCTTTCTCCAGAACTCTGCTACCTTGAAGCAACGACTCGTGGATTTCGGTTCATATCTGTACACGGTTACAGTCATGGTATAAAAAAAATTTAATCAAATTCAAACAGTACATACTCCGGGGTATATTATATATACAGTATTTTTCTTTGGCTAATTAGTATTGTTATTAAAAAACCAGTTTTACGCATACTTTTTCCTACTCTACCTATCACATCATACTTTTTTTACTTATAATGTGTCCATCACATCAATGGTAAAGTTAGAAAGTCAGCCACAAACATACACTATTTATTTCTCTTTTTAGTCAAAATTGGAACCGTTCTAAATAAAAAAATACTCCCTCCGTTCCTGAAAACCTTTCTTCTTTCTTTTTTCATCCGTCCCAAAAAAATACTTCTTATTTCTATTAAAAAGTCATTTTTACCCCTTATTTGTTCATACCCTACCTATTACATCATACCTTTTTAGTAATAATCTACACATCAAATCCTACTTTTACCCATCACATCAAAAGACATTTTTAGAAATTCAATACCAAAATACATTCCCCTTAAATTTCTTCAAAATCAAAATATCTCATGTTTAAAGGGACGGAGGGAGTATTTGATATGATATAATAACTGCTAGGGTTCCGTTTAGTAAAATTGAAACCTATGTAATTGAGTTTTCTAATTACAATTCAATTTTTTAAACTACCAATTTTAAATCCACATATTTTTGTACTATCAAACAACAGAACTAGGATTATTGTCCAAAATATCAAATTCATAGTTTAAATTCTACGTACCAAGTTCTATTCTTTATTTGCTTCAATTCATCACGCATGGCAGCCTCATCATGGAAGGTGTTGGACTTGTCGAGATGATTATCAGATGAAACTGGGAGATCAAATCTTGGCAACTGGAAGTACCTATTTCGGCGGTGTCGATAACGATTTCACACTATATTATCATCGTGCTGATATCCCAAATGTAAGTTTCCATTTCTAATCTCATTTCATGCATGTTAATTGAGATGATACATATATGTGTGTCTGTGACTAAAAGTGCTACATTGAGAAAAAATATATGATCCTATTTAGAGAAAGTCATTATATTTTAGTGTCATTTAAGTAAATTTTTCATATTAATTGAAATTAGTATTGATTTGTGGATGCATTTATATATTTTGATGAATTAGATCGAGAGTCAAGGAATAGATATTTACGTGGATATGAATTCTGCTTGCAATGGTCTACCCAAGGGGGCGATGAAGAATCCATTCAAACGTGCCGTGGAATCAGTTGCGGCCATCGATTGAAAGAATACCCAAAATATCCAATCAGACTCATTAATTAGATGCATATTATAATTATAATTATAATGCAATACCTTTATCCATTTCACTTCACACCCCAGTGAATATTGGATAATAATAATGATAATGATAATAATAATAATTATAATAATAATAATAATAATAAGGTATTGCAAGTGTGCAATTAAGCTAATGACATGCATTTAATTTGAAGTCTGGTTGTCTCTACTGTATTTTCCTCATGGAAACTTGGTGTAGTAAATTCCAAGCTTTTTTCGTTTCATTGCCTGCCACTTTATTCACGGAGTATTTATTTATTTTTCAATATGTTTACTAATAATTACGGAGTAATATACTCCATAATTAATTGTTTATAGAATAAATTTTCACTGATACTTATTTAAAAAATTCACCTAAAATAAAGTTTAAAATAATTTTTTTATACTCATATTTTAAGGGGAATTTACGTAAATAGCACTAAAACATAATGACTTTTCCTAAATAGCACTACAAGTGCTTTTTCCCCAATATGGCACTTTTAGTCATTATCCATTAGTCATTATTCAAGTAAATGTTTGTCATCACGGGTCATTATGGAGAGTATTATGTGCTATTTAGGGAATAAAACAATTTAAGTGCTATTTAGAGAAATGACTTAAGTTTTAGGGGCTGTTTGTTTCAGCCTCTTAATGGTTCAGATGTCTAAATGGTTCAGACTGTTTGTTTCAGCCTCTTAATGGTTCAGATGTCTGAATGGTTAAGAGCTTTGCCTCTAAATGATTAAGTATTATACAGAGTCTGAATGGTTAAGACCTCTTATCTGAATTGATCAGACATTTGTCTCTAAATAGTTAAGCAATATACTAGCTCTTAATGGTTCAGACCTCCTACTGGTTCAGCACTTAATTAATGGTTCAGACCTCCTCTTACTGGTTCAGCACTTACCTATTCAGAAGTTGCCAAACAGCCCCTTAGTGCTATTTAGTGCAAATATTTCTATTTTAATTTCATGTTCTTTGGCTCCCAACTATAAGTTGTTGGAAGATGTATGGAACCCCATCTAAATATAATCAGCTCCCCACCCCATTAAAAAGAGAAATACTCATCTTGTATTTTTAGCTTTTTACACCAATCACACGCGCTAGTCATAAAAAAATGGTTGATTATTTTAATGATTATTCAAATTGTTTTTTTAATATATCTTATTTTACTTGAATTGTGTAATAGGTCATTTTTATAATGACTTGAAGTTTTTTGGTAGATTCCACAAACAAACACCATAAGTTATATATTAATAGAAAGACCTATTAAGAGACTACATTATTAATGGTATGTTTGGGAACATGGATTTGGATTTTAAATCCGGATTTGGCCTAAATTCCATGTTTGGGAAACTTAAGCATTTTAAATTTGGATTTGAATCAAATTCTTTATATTCAAAACAAAGCTTAATTTGAAATCCATGCACCTCCCCTTGTCATTTGAAATTCTGAATTTCAAATTTTGGAATTGAAATGCATGAATTGAAATGAAATGCTAGTTGTCAAACACTACCTAACATCATTTGTAGTCATTTTGGATGCTTGTCTTTTTTCGGGCTATGAACGGAGCACTCACATTTTCAAATGAAGACATATTCGTACATTCCATCGTCAAACATTGAGTAATAAGACTGATCCGATCTTGAAAAAAATAATATGTTTATGTCTCATTTACTTAAGTTACTTTAAAAAATGCTAACCCGCCATTTTCAAGAGGAGACTCTAGAAGTGAAAAATAGCATCACCGCAGCAGCCATTTTCAAACATTTGCTTTGTTAGAAATGTAAACAATTTTATTTGTGCCCCCAATTATCAACTAATGGTGTTCGCAATTCTTGGTTATGCCTTGAGTGGGTTGGCGCGACATATACGTGCCCCCTATAAAATTGTACATTTAATTTGCTTATGAAGCTAAGGTAATAGTAGTATTTACCTTTTCTAATTTAGTAAATTCTCTAATTAGTACTCCCTCTGTTCCTGGATACCTTTCTCCTTTATTTTTCATCCGTCCCTAAAAATATTTCTTATTTCTATTAAAAAAATCATTTTTACCCCTTACTTTTTCATTTCCTTCTTATCATTATCGTAAACTTTTAAGCAGGGCCGGCCCCGAAAAATGAAAAAAATAAAATTGGCCCTATTTTATTTTTTTAGCATACTTTTGCTTTAAAATTGTTAACAAATTTAAAAATACGGGACCCTAAAATTTTAGAGGTTTTGTGCGGTTGGCCACTTTGCACACCCTCCAGGCCACCCATGCTTTTAAGAGTATAATACTTAAACTACCACTAAAATAAGTCACTCTTCTCCACCTTATCTTCTCATTCATCGTAACCTCTTCTAAAAAGTAATGACAATTTCAGAAAGTCAACTCTATTTTTTTCTTTCTTAAATATGCACCAAAGTCAAAACGGGCGATTTAAAACAGGACGGAGGGAGTAATAATCCACTCATCAAATCCTACTTTTATCCATCACATCAAAAGACTTTTTTAGAAATTCAATACCAAAATATACTTCCTATAAATTTCTTAAAAATCAATAAATCACATGTTTCTAGGACCAGAGGGAGTATTTTATAAGAAAACAATATGAATGATATAGATTGAATATATAACTCTCGTATGCTCGTATTAGCTTGATTTAGTTTGGCCTACAATGGAGGAGAATGTCTCCATTTTATAGCCTAACATTTTCATATTTTTGGCATGCAATTTGTGTGCTACAAAATTGCTAATTGGCTAATCGTGCGTCAATCATGTGCGGGGAATCACTTGTCAATTGCTAATTGGCTGACGTCAGCTCGGCCCCTCGCCCACAGGGAAGAGCGCCGGGCTCGGCCTACGAGCTCGGCTCGACCAATGAGCTCGCATTGGCCTCCCAAGCTCAGCTCAGACTGCATGACAGCGACGAGAAGATAGCGACCGACGATAGGGACCTAGGGATAGCGATAGGATAAAAGGGACAAGACAGAGAAACAAGGGACGTCCGCTAAGCGACGAACCCGGCGGGTCGGAGCGTTTTCCAGCCAACTCCGGCGAAATTGACGGCGGGAACCAACTCCAATGCGGTCGTGGCATCCGGGCGACCTCCAGGGACACCTCAATTGCAAGATTTGATGACGATTTGCAAAACCCCCAATTTTGGACCCAATTTCGAATTTTAGGGTTTTTCGAGTAGAAAAATTCAGATTCGAGAAGTTACAGGCCAAATTAGATAAAATGGTTTGGATATTATTGATCCTCGTCTCAAGACGAAGAGAATGACATTGGTCCCGCTGGAATCGGAAAAAGTTCATTTTCCGGCGACTTTGACCGGCGGGCGGCGGCGGCGGGGCCTAGAAGAAAAGAAAAGAAGAAATGGGGTCAAATTGAAAATTTTAAAATATATAAAATTCGAATTTGGCCCTAATGACCGGAAGTTAACCTAGAAACGGGCTAATGGCTCATTAGTGAAAGGATTGTGTAAGTTTAGGGATTTTTGTGAAAGGATTTGAAGTTGAGGTACCACTTCGAAATTCCAGCTAAAGTTCAGGTACCATTACTGAAATTTACCCTAGCTAGCGCGGTCCCTAAAAGCTTTTTTCTTTGGACTCGCTCTTTTTTTGTGTCTAAAAAAGTTTGTCATACGGAGTACTTTGTATAAATCACTTTTATTCTACATATCACTACATTATGGCCTTAAATTTTTACCAATCATATTAAGATTTTTTGGGTGAAATTTATTTATATAGTACTAAAATATGAAATATTTGCATTAAATAATACTAAAACTTAAGTCATTTCCCAATGTAGGAGTTAAACTTTTTTATTTTCTAAATAGCAATTAATAATGTCTATAATGTCCAGTGATATCGAACATTTACTTGTATAATGACTAAAATTGCTACATTGGGAAATAAAAACATATAATGATATTTAGGGAAATTTATTATATTTTAGTACTATCTAGGTAAATTTCTCACTAAAATAAAGTAAGTTACCCAATGTACTACCGTTGTTCAATATCCATTGGATATTATTCAAGTAGATATTCACTACTACTCGACATATTGTTCAAGTACTATTTTGTGAATAAATAGTTTTAGGTATGAGAGAAAAACCAAAGTTGGACTAAAACATTGAAAATATAACGAAATAGGACTTCCATGTTTTTATTCCCGAAACAGGCCGCGGACTTACATTACCATACATGGTCATATACATTACCAAAAAAGTATAGTAATTTGCACATGTACACTGCCACATTACAACAGGGCAAAGTCACATTACCACAGTGCAAAGTCCTATTTCGGGGAAAAAAATATGAGAGTCCTATTTTGGCACTTTTCTCTATGTTTTAATCCTATTTAGGGTGATTTCTATTTAGGTATTACGAGCCGGGGTGACGGGTTTGTATGCCAGTTATGTGCTTGTGCGGGTATATATATACCATATACGGAGTATATGAGATGGAGAGTGGCATATAGTTTCACAGCACATACATATAAAAAGAAGAAGAAGAAGAGTGGTAGTTCAATTCAAGTTGTGGGTGCACTACAAAAAAAGAAGGCAATACCGACAGGGGTCAGTATGTCGCTAATGGTTAAATATCTGTCGCTACTCGCTTTTACCGACAGATAATTGTCCGTCGCTAAGCTGTCGCTAAAAACTCCGTCAGTAAAAGTATTACCAACAAATAAAATATACTGTCGCTAAAATAGTGTAATAGCGACAGACCAAAGATGTCGCTAAAACAGAGAGAAGTACCGACAAAACATATATGTCGCTAAAAAAATGAATTACCGACAAAGCAAAATGTGGGCAAATCCTTCTTTTCTGTCGGTAATACTTTGTTTTTACCAACATTAACATTTATTATAACTGTCGCTAAAAGTTATATTACTGACAAAAAAATCTGTGAGCCAAACATTTTTTTTCTGTCGGTAATAGCTTATTTTGACCAACATTTACATTTATTATAACTGTTACTAATATCAACTATTTAAGTGATATTAAATA